GGGGGGATGGGGGTTGCTGGCGAGAGGGGGGGCCGGGGAGCTAGCTTGCTAGTGGGTAGTGGGGTGGCTAGCTGGGCAGCTAGTGGGGAGCTAGCTAGCTAGCTAGCTAGCTAGCTAGCTAGCTGGGTAGCTGGGTAGCTAGCTAGCTAGCTAGGGAGGTGGAGATTTTGTTGTTGTTAGCGGGAGGGAGGGAGAGGGCTAGCTGGAGAGTTGAGAAAGCCTGAGAGAGAAGCAGCTAGCTAGGGGTTGCCGCAGCTAGCCAGGTTTAGGGTTTAGGGTTTAGGGTTTAGGGTTTAGGGTTGTTTGCAGGGCACATGAGTGCGTGATGGACGGCTTTGAGAGATTTGCGGGAGGCAAGCTGATAACTCTCTTTTCAGGTGCCTAAACCCTAAACCCTAAACCCTAAACCCTAAACCCTAGATCTGAGTTCACAGGGTGACAGCCTCAGGGGCCTGTTGCGAGTCCCCAGTCAGCTCCAGGCCGAGGGTTTAGAGTTTGTCCGCGCCGAGGGTTTAGGGTTTTGCCCAGGGCGAGGGTTTGGGGTTTTGTCTAGGGTTTCGGGCGTTGTCCAGGTTTAGGGTTTAGGGTTTAGGGTTTAGGGTTTAGGGTTTGGGGCGCAGCTACGAACTACTGCAACCACCACCAAAACGCGGGAGCTCTTTTGTACATTCGGCGGGACTTGACAATAATTCCAAAACTGATTTATCCTGCAAACGCGCTGTCGCAATACACCACCTGGTGAGGTGTACGTACACCTGGCGGCTGCGGGCTTTCAAGTTCCGCAGTGTGGGGTGCTGCGGTGTACGTACACCTGGCGGCTGCGCGCATGCAAGTCGCGAAGTTGGGGTGGTGGGGGGGTCGGTTTGTGGGGATTTCGGGCTCGTTTTGAAAATTTTTTAGTTTATTTATTCTCATTTTCTCTTTTAATTCATTTTCCGACTTTCCGCAAACGCAGGGACGAAAGAATGACTGAACTCCGGCCCCCCACGCCCCCCCGCGCTCCCCCGCGCATGCGGGAGCAGCACGAATTCGAGGGCTGAGGTGTACGTACACCTCACGCGCGGTGTACGTACACCGCAGCTGCGTGCAAAGGCCCCCAACTGCATGCAAGGCAAGCTCAGGTGTACAGACACCGCGGCAGGCGCATGCAAGTGCATGCAAGTGCGTGCAGACACGGGGGTTGAGGTGTACGTACACCGCACTCGAGGTGTACGTGCACTTCGCTGCATGCAAATGCATGCGCGTGCAGGGGTTTGAGGTGTACGTACACCTGAGCCTTCAGGTGTACGTACACCCGAATTTGTAAACCCTAACTCGACCGCTTGTCACCCCGAGGCGTTCCCTCGCTCTTTCGGGCTTTGTCTCATCAAGACTTTGTTTAGACTCTAAACCCTAAACCCTAAACCCTAAACCCTAGTCCCTTCTCAGAGAGGCTCCAGCCCTCCGTGGCGTGCAGTGCACGTACATAGCGACAATGGTGCGAAACCCTCAAACCCTAAACCCTAAACCCTAAACCCTAGGCGCCAGACAGAGACGGCTGTGCGCTGAGAAGTCCCTGAGTGCCGCGTCAAGTTGCGCAATTAGGGTTTAGGGTTTAGGGTTTAGGGTTTGGGTTGCAGAGCTTCTAGTTTAGGGTTTAGGGTTATGGAATAAACACGAAATATTGTGTTCGTTTATATTACTTCAAAAATTAAATTTATTTGCAAATTGCTGCAAAGGCTTGTCTCTGGACGTTTCCGGTGAAATCAAAAAGGTCTTTTAAATCCGAAAAGTAAATTAAACGCAAATTTAATTCAAATTAAATATAAATAAATATAATTAAACGTAAATTAAATATAAATTAAATATAAATTAAATATAAATTAAATATAAATTAAATGTAAATTTAAAAATATTTCCTTTAAAGGCATTTAAAGTCCGCCTTTGCGAAAATTACCGAGAGGTGTACATACACTGCAAATGCAAATACACATTAAATGCAGTTAATTATAATTCAGGTGTCTTAGAGGTGTACATACACTGCAAATGTAAATACACATTAAATGCAGTTAATTATAATTCAAGTGTCTTTACAGAAAAACAAACAAATATGCACAAATAGGAAAATAAAAATAAACAATTAAAGAACTAAACGCGAAAATAATAAAAATAAACAATTAAAGAACTAAACGCGAAAATAATAAAAGTGTAATAATAATTGCAAAGTTTTGCGTACACCCCAAAACGCCGTAAGGCCTCAAGTGTACATACACTTCAAACTTAACTTCAAAAAAGGCCAAAGGCCTCAAAAAGAAACAAAAGAAATAAAATGGAATTAAAAGTGCATGCAAGTCTTCAGGAGAAAGAATGAAAAGAACAAAGTTTTCTAATGCCAAAAAAGGCATTAGGGTTTAGGGTTTAGGGTTTAGGAATTTTGAACTTTAAATAAGTACAAAAAGAGAACTTTGCAGAACTTTTTTAAAAATCTATTTTGTCTCTTTTTGAGTTTAAAACCCTAATAAAGTTCTTTGTTAATCTCTTTTTTTGAAAGATTTAAAAGTTGATTTTGAATCTATTTGGAGTTTTAAATATCTGAAAGAAATCTAAAAGCGGCTTTTCAAAAGCTCCGAAACACTAGAGGCCAAAAGCCCCGAACTTGCATGCGCAAAGAAGTGCTCGCAAACCCTAAAAAAGGGTTTGAAGGAAGCGCAGGAGTGGAAACGCGGGCTCGCAAACCCTAAAAAAGGGTTTCGAAAGAAAGTGAAACCCCCGAAGTTGCTTTTGAGCGGAAGCGCGGCAGGGGCTCGCGGGGTGTACGTACACCCGAAGTGTACGTACACCCGAAAGCTGGGGGGAGCGGCGGGGTCATTTGGTGTGGAAAAAAGTGGAAAAAAGAGGAAAAAAAGTGGAATAAAAGGGGAAAAGAATGGCCAAATTGGAAACCCTAAAAAAGGGTTTGCAAGAGCAGAAAAAGCGAGGGTTTGGTTCAGAAATCGGGGCCGCGGGAAAGCACTTCTTTGCTGCTGCTGCCCAAAAACACTGTGTGTTCCATTTGCGAAGTGAAAGCCCCAAACACATCTGACAACGGCGGATAAGGAATTATTATATTTGCTTTCACGAGTTGCTGCAGCGCCATTTGGTGGTTTGCTGCTCCCAAACTCGACAGCCACCGCCGGCAAAACGCCAGCGTCCCGAAGTTCTGCAGCAGCAGCAGCAGCAGCAGCAGCAGCAGCAGCAGCAGTAGCAGCAGCAGCAGCAGCAGCAGTAGCGGCAGCAGCAGTAGCGGAGCAGCAGCAGCAGCAGCACAGCAGTAGCAGCAGGGTGCAGCAGCGCAGCAGCAACAGCAGCAGCAAAGCAGTATAGTGGCAGCAGCGGGAGCCGATTACGCTTTAGGAGGGGGTTTAGGGTTTGCGCGAGGGTTTAGGGTTTGCGCGAGGGTTTAGGGATTAGGCGAGGGTTTAGGGTTTGCACAATGGTTTAGGGTTTGTGCGAAGGTTTAGGGTTTAGGGTTTGGGGTACGTCGTCGATGAGTTTGAGGAGTTCTTTGGTGGTTTTGAGACGTTGAAGGATTAGGGTTTAGGGTTTAGGGTTTAGGGTTTGGGGCGCTTTCTCGATGAGTTTGAGGAGTTTGCTGGTGGTTTTAAGCCGTTGAGGGTTTAGGGTTTAGGGTTTAGGGTTTGGGGTACGTCGTCGATGAGTTTGAGGAGTTCTTTGGTGGTTTTGAGTCGCAAAGGAACAAAACCCGCGTCGAATCTTTTCATGAAATGAGAACAATCTCCTTCTTCAGAAACAAAACCCTTTCCCGTCGAAGCAAAAGTTTCAATTGCGTAAACTTCTCCCTCTTCCATGATGTTCAAAAACGAGACGCTGTGCGCGGGGGCCTTCACAATTGGCACGGACTTGCCTGCAAACCACAAAAAAGGGTTTAGGGTTTAGGGTTTGGGCGGCCGCCAGCGGCGCAGGGAAGACCCCAGCGAGTCGGGTTAAGGGTTTGCCGCTTGCGGCTCCTCGCGAGGGTTTAGGGTTTGCGGGAGGGGAAGAAGGGGAACGCGGAAAGGGTTTGCGGCTAGGGTTTAGGGTTTGGGCGAGGGTTTAGGGTTTGGGCGAGGGTTTAGGGTTTGGACGAGGGTTTAGGGTTTGGGCGAGGGTTTATAATGGACTTGGTCAGCAGCAAACAGTTGGCTGGAGGGCCGCTTTAAAGACTAGGGTTTGGGTTTTCGGGCTAGGGTTTAGGGTTTGAGCTCTAGGGTTTAGGGTTTGCACTCTAGGGTTTAGGGTTTGAGGTTTGCACGCCCGGCAGCAGAGCCGCGGGTCCAGCGCCGCCGGGCACTGGAGTCTGCGGCCGCGCTAGGGTTTAGGGTTTAGGGTTTAGGGTTTGGACCAGCCAGCGCCGCCGGCCACTGGAGTCTGCGGCCGCGCTAGGGTTTAGGGTTTAGGGTTTAGGGTTTGGACCTGCGTGGATCCTGTAGGGCGCAATGGAGTGGCCGGTGAGGTTTTTGACGGGTTTTATTTTGAGGGTTTGGTTTTCATTTATAAATTCAAAAGAAGAAATTGTTTCTTCAATTAAACCCCCGATTTCGGAAAGCCTCGCGTCCACGCCTGCGGCCCGCAGGCCCACGTTCGTCGCTTCCTGCCAAACCCTAAACCCTAAACCCTAAACCCTAAACCCTAAACCCTAAACCCTAAACCCTAAAAGTGGCGACAACCCGAACCCTGCGAAACCCTAGTAGACCCTGGGGGAAACGGCTGCTGACGGCTGCGCGGGGAGATGCGGCGGGATGAGACCAGCTCTCTACAAACCCTAAACCCTAAACCCTAAACCCTAAACCCTAAACCCTAAACCCTACCTGCGTGGCTTGGATTAAGGGGTCGAACTTGGGGTCAAATGCAATGGAGAAGGCGCAGTCAATAATCCTTCCACTGACTTGGACTCCGAAGTCCAGCTTGCATATGTCGCCTAAACCCCAAACCCCAAACCCCAAACCCTAAACCCTAAACCCCAAACCCTAAACCCTAACCCAAACCCCAAATCCAAGACCCTAAACCCTAGCACCTAAATCCTACACGCTAAACCCTAGCCCTAAACCCGAAAGCCCAAACCTTAAACGCCTTCCCTAAACCCCAAACCCTAAACCCTAAACCCTAAACACCCCAAACCCTAAACCCTAAACCCTAAACCCTCAACCCTGCCTTTTCCGAGGATTCTGTCTTCTCCAGGGTTTGGAGTGTAGTGAGCTGCTTATTCGTTTAAGTCCCCACCCCCAACCACTAACCCCTCCCCTAAACCCTAGCCCCAAACCCTAAACCCTAAACCCTAAACCCTAAACCCTAAACCCTGCCTTTTCCGAGGATTCTGTCTTCTCCAGGGTTTGGAGTGTAGTGCGCCGCGCATTCGTTCAAAGAGCACCCCGTGGGAAACCCTTTGCCCCTTTCGAGGCCTTTGGCAGCAATTAGGGTTTCTGTTTTTTTTTCAATTTCTTCACAAAGATAAGTCAAAGATATCCCCGGCTTCACCAAACTCTGGGCATATCGCCGCACCTGCGCAACAAAACTCAAAAACAACTTCAAAACCCTTTTTATTTCTTTTTTATTTCCAAAAAAATCCAAAAAAATCCAAAAAATTCCAAAAAATTCCAAAAATTCCAAAAATTTACACTCCTGCATGCACTCCCAGGTGTATGTACACCCCGATCTTCGTTAAAATCGAACTTTCTTTTTTTATTTATTTTTCAATTTTTGTTTTTTATCTTTTTGCAATTATTTCAACACTTTATTTCTCGTTTTAACATTCAATTTATTTTTATTTCTTTAAATGTTCTCGAATCTCTACTTCCCTAGGGTTTAGGGTTTAGGGTTTAGGGTTTACTAGTCTGTGGCACTCCGCAGCCTCTTGCAAAGCCTCCAAATTAACGGAATGTTTAAACATTCAATTTATTTTTATTTCCTTAAATGTTCTTTAACCTCTACTCCCCTACGGTCTAGGGTTTAGGGTTTAGGGTTTAGGGTTTAGGGTTTAGGGTTTACTTGTCTGTGGCACTCCGCAGCTTCTCGCAAAGCCTCCAAATTGACAGAGTCAAATCTTTCGGCTTCTCTCGCTTCTGCGTCGTTGGGCGGCGACGCGTAAAGCTGCACTTCCCCTGAAGCCGCAAACCCTAAACCCTAAACCCTAAACCCTAAACCCTAAACCCTAAACCCTAAACCCTAAACCCTAAACCCGCGGAAGTTGGCTCCGTTCCGGCAGCCGGAGGCCGCAGCAAAAGTCGCGCAGCGGCCCAACCCTCGCCCCTGCGAGCGCCGCCTCCACCCCCCAAACCCAAACCCTAAACCCCAAACCCTAAACCCTAAACCCTAAACCCTAAACCCTAAACCCTAGACACCTTTGGGGAATTCCCCCGCGGGAAACAGCTGCTGCATCGTCTTCGTGGGAGGCACCGTTTGCTGCGAGGGTTTGCGTTCGGGCCAGCTGCCTAAGCAGCGCAGCGCGCTGTTATCTTGTGCAGGCTCAAACCCTAGGGTTTTTGCTGCTGCTGCTGCTGCTGCTGCTGCTGCTGCTGCGCTTTTCTTCTTCTTTTTCTTCTTCTTCTTTGCTGCTGCTGCTGCCCCCTCCCCCCCTGCTGCTGCTGCTGCTGCTTCGCCCGCGCATTCGCCCCCAGACTCCTCCGCCTCGCTCTCTCCGGCCTTCTGTGCACAAACCCTAAACCCTAAACCCTAAACCCTAAACCCCAAACCCTAAACCCTAAACCCTAAACCCTCGGCTCCGGGCGTCAACTGACCTCCTGGGGCTCCGCCGCAACGTCCAGGCGCTTCTCCTCCTGCACCAGACTTCCGGGCATTTTGGCAAAACTAGGGTTTTCGGCTTTGCTGCTAGGGTTTAGGGTTTAGGGTTTAGGGTTTAGGGTTTAGGGTTTGATGCTGCGGACAGCCTAGAGAGCAGCACGGTTGCCGGGGCTGCTGCATCTGTTTCCAGGTGTACGTACACCTGCTCCGCTACGCGCTGCTGCTGCTGCTTCAAAGAAAGAAATGTGTTCCCTGCTGCTGCTGTGGGGAGCATTTGCTGCTGCTGCTGCTGCTGCTGCTGCTGCTGCGGGGCTGGAGCTGCCGCTGCTGGTGCAGCATCGATCACTAGCAGCAGCAGCAGCAGCAGCAGCAAGAGAAGCACTAGCAGCAAATAAACCCTGACTCTATTTTATTTTCTTTTTAGTACCTTTTGAGCTTCTCTTAATTAAGATCTGCTGCTGCTTCGCTGCAGCTACGCGGGAACACTAGCAGCAGCAGCAGCAGCAGCAGCAACAGCAGCAGCAGCTGCTGCTGCTGGTTCTGCGTCCAATACACACAGACATTCCGCAGCAGCAGCAGCAAGACACATGTCTGTACGTACACTGAAAGTAACAGCCGCAGCAGCAACTACAGCAGCAGCAGCAGCAACAACTGCAGCAGCAGCAACTGCAGCAGCAGCAACTGCAGCAGCAGCAGCAACTGCAGCAGCAGCAGCCACTCAACCGGCCTAGCTGTAGTAGCAGCAAACGGAGCAGCAGCAGCGGCCAGGGCCGTGGCAATCGTCAGTAGCAGCAGCAGCTAATGCTGCTGCTGCTGCAGCAGGGAAGCCGACGCTGCTGTTTTATCTCTTGGGGCCACAAGCAGCAGCAGCAGCAGCAGCAGCAGCAGCAAAAGCAGCAGCAGCAGCAGCAACAGAGGGAGAGCAATGAGCTCCGTATACCCAGCCGCCGCTCCTTCTGTTCCCTGCAGCAGCAGCAGCAGCAGCAGCAGCAGCAGCAGCAAATCAGCAGCAGCAGCAACTGCAGCAGGACACGATGATACGCCAGTAGTAGTCGTGCGGTGAGCGATGCCGTGGGCTGCACCTTTAAGGGTTTAGGGTTTAGGGTTTAGGGTTTAGGGTTTAGGGTTTTAAGGCCCTTGCAGCCGCTGCCTCCCAGGATTTGCACGCGGGCTTGGCGCCCAGTGGGCCGCTGCCGTGCGGCCCAGGCTTAGGTATTAGGGTTTAGGGTTTAGGGTTTAGGGTTTAGGGTTTAGGGTTTAGGGTTTAGGGTTTTGTCAGGCGCGACTTTCACTCTGCGGAGGCCCGGCGGCGCTCTCGCGCCCACACATTTTTTGGGCAGCGAAATTTGGGAGAGTTTGGTTCATTTGTTTATCTCGTCAATCAAGTGTTTGGCGCCAGTAAACCCTAAACCCTAAACCCTAAACCCTAAACCCTAAACCCTAAGCCCTCAGTTGGGCCTCCAGGCGGCAGGCCCTAATGCGCGGCCGTTCTGCAGCGGGAACTAAACCCTAAACCCTAAACCCTAGGCCTTTGCGGGAGAGCGTGGCCGGAGCAGCTGGCGCAGTGCGCTGAGTTTCTCTGTAGGGTTTAGGGTTTAGGGTTTAGGGTTTAGGGTTTAGGGTTTAGGGTTTGCGGGCGCGCAGGTCTGGTGGCGGTGCCTCTCGTGTTTAAGAGTGCTGGCTTCTTGCCTGCTGCAGCAGCAAATTTATTTGTTTGCTGCAGCAGCGCCGTGGCCTCTCTTATGCTTCTCCGCTGCATGCAGCTAGTGCATGTAAACCCTAAACCCTAAACCCTAAACCCTAAACCCTAAACCCTAAACCCTGAAAACGCCGACGCGCAGCCCGAGCGCTAAACCCTCAGCTGCAGCAGCGGCTCCGCAACCCTCATCTAAACCCTGGCTGCCTCGACTGCCGAGCCCCACGCGACTAGGGTTTAGGGTTTAGGGTTTGGGGTTTAGGGTTTAGGGTTTAGGGTTTGGGGTTTAGGGTTTAGGGTTTGGGGTTTGGCCTCTGGTGCAGGGAAATAGTTGTTTTCAAAAGCGCATAGAGTATGCAGCGTGTGTCTCCTACTTCCTTGGCAAGCACAAGGCCGGCCTGGTTCAGGTAAACCCTAAACCCTAAACCCTAAACCCTAAACCCTAAACCCTTGCGTTCCGGAGTTGTGCGGCGCCCGAGGGTTTGCAAAAACCCTAGGGTTTAGGGGTGCGGTCTGCAGCCGCAAACCCTCGGGGTTTGCAGGCAGCAGCGCCTGCGGCCTCCCTTGCTGCGCCTGGCAAGCCCCAAACCCTAAACCCTAAACCCTAAACCCTAGTTTTGCTGCTGCGCTGCAGCTTTGCCTCTACCTCGCCATGCAAGGCATGTGCGCCATTTCTATTGTAGTTGTCAGTCAAGCCTCGGACCAGCTGCTGCTCTTTTCTTTCGGAAAAACAGCAGGTGCAAACCCTAAACCCTAAACCCTAAACCCTAAACCCTAAACCCTAAACCCTTGCTGCAGACGGGACACGCTCCAAACCCCAGGCTGCGGAGCTGCCGGAGGGTTTAGGGGTGCGGTCTGCAGCCGCAAACCCTCGGGGTTTGCAGGCAGCAGCGCCTGCGGCCTCCCTTGCTGCGCCTGGCAAGCCCCAAACCCTAAACCCTAAACCCTAAACCCTAGTTTTGCTGCTGCGCTGCAGCTTTGCCTCTACCTCGCCATGCAAGGCATGTGCGCCATTTCTATTGTAGTTGTCAGTCAAGCCTCGGACCAGCTGCTGCTCTTTTCTTTCGGAAAAACAGCAGGTGCAAACCCTAAACCCTAAACCCTAAACCCTAAACCCTAAACCCTAAACCCTTGCTGCAGACGGGACACGCTCCAAACCCCAGGCTGCGGAGCTGCCGGCGCAGCCCAACGCGCTGCTGCTGGGACTGCGCTAACGTGGCCACGGGGGTTTGCGTTGAGGGTTTAGGGTTTAGGGTTTAGGGTTTAGGGTTTAGGGTTTAGAATTGATTGTGCTTCTTTGCTGCGGGCTGGCGACTGGTTGGTACACTGGGTTCTAGGGTTTAGGGTTTAGGGTTTTGGGTTTGAGCTTCGTAAATGGCGCGGTTTGGCAGCCGCGAGCTGGCACACAACCCGAGTCCTAGGGTTTAGGGTTCAGGGTTTAGGGTTTAGGGTTTAGGGTTTTGCGTTTCAGGCCTTGAGGTTTACCCGCAGCTGCGGCTGCGAGTTTATGACGCAGCAGAATATGCAGCATTTTCGGGATTGTCTTTGCCTTGGGCTTCTGGGGCTGGGGGAGCAGCAGCAGCAGCAGCAGCAGCAGCGCCTGCTGCAGCAGCAGCAGCAGGCGCAGCAGCAGCAGCAGCAGAAGTCACCGTCACCTGCGGCTACCTCCTCTGTGCTGCTTGCTGCATCCCTCTCTCCAGCAGCAGCATGGAAGAAAACATGACAGTTCAATACATTTCTTTTTTCTTTTTAATGGGATCTGTAGCAGCAATGGCAGCAGCAGCAGCATGGCGCATTGGCACTTTTGCTGCAGCAGAAGCTCCCCTTGCTGCTGCTGCTGCTGCTGCTGCTGCGGCCCCCGCTGCGCTTCCGGGGGACGCCGCTGCTTGGCTGCAGCAGCAGCTGCAGCAGCAGCCACCAGCGACAGCAGCAGCAGCAGTGGCCGCGCTGCCGCAGCAGGGCTTTGCTGCTGCTGCTGCTGCCGCAGCTGCTGCTGCTGCTGCTATGCCACGCGTGCTGTACGCAGCAACCCCAGCACGCCAAACGCCAGCAGCAGCAGCAGCAGCAGCAGCAGCAGCAGCAGCAGAGGGTTGGGAGGTATCTGCGGGGGCCGCAGTTGAGGCAGCAGAGCTGGAGGACATGCTGAAGAGCAGCAGCAGCAGCAGCAACAGGAGGCTGCTGCAGCACCTACTGCGGGAGGCCTCGAAGGACAGCAGCAGCAGCAGCAGCAGCAGCAGCAGCAGCAGCAGCAGCAGCCCTGGAGAAGACAGCAGCAGCAGCACCGCCGCCCATGTCGAAGACGGCGCGAGCGCCGCTGCGGAGGCCCCCGCGCCCAGCAGCCCCAACAGCAGCCCCAGCAGCAGCAGCAGCAGCGGCAGCAGCAGCAGCAGCAGCAGCAGCAGCAGCAGCAGCAGCAGCAGCAGCAGCCCGTTAGAAGCCACGCCTCCAGCGTTTCCGCCGCTGTGGGGCGGCCAAAACCTCACTCAAGTCTTTTCCACTTTCATTGCCAATTATGCTTATGTGACAGTTGTGCCTTGTTGGGCCAACGAAATGAAGCTCGAAGTCAAGGCCCGCAAACCCTAAACCCTAAACCCTAAACCCTAAACCCTAAACCCTAGTTGGCGGGCGGCGGGCTGAGGCGCGCGCCGCCGCCTCCCCGGCGGCGCAGAAAAGGCGGCGCGCGCTGGCAGCTGCAGCGGCCGCAAGAGGGGCGGCTGGGGTTTGGGGTTTAGGGTTTAGGGTTTAGGGTTTAGGGTTTAGGGTTTAGGGTTTGCGTGCAGATTGAAAGGGCCATTTGGAGAAGCACTACTTTCTGCGGGGCCATTTATTTTCTTTTCGGCCTTTTGCTCGCAGCGGCTTACCCTGCCGTCTCATCCGACAATATTCTGCAGGTAGCCAAACCCTAAACCCTAAACCCTAAACCCTAAACCCTCGCCAGCGGCGCCCAGCCCTGAACTCTCGGCAAACCCTAAACCCTAATCGCGGCCCAATGATTAGCCCAGCTGGCTGGCCGGGGACTTCCTTGGAAGCGCAGCTTCTTCAGCGGACAAGGCCCAGGGTTTAGGGTTTAGGGTTTAGGGTTTAGGGTTTAGGGTTTAGGGTTTGGGATTGCGGTCTGCAGGAAATGTTGGCTTCAAGCGGCACGCCTGTGTTTGCGCAACTGGCCATCTTTGCTTTTGACCTTTTCACTATTCTTCCCGGTACGGACTAAAACCCAGGGTTAGAGTTTAGGGTTTAGGGTTTAGGGTTTAGGGTTTAGGGTTTAGGGTTTAGGGTTTGGGGTTTGGGGGCGTGCAGGGCTTCGCGCGCGGCGGCCGCGCCTTGGGATTCACCAGACGCGAAAGGCGGCCGGGCGGGGCA